TTCTGCCAAAAAAATAAAAAAGTGTACAGAAGTAAATGAGACACTGTGTCAAAGCTAGGGATGCACCGATCCCCTCCATGTCTGCTGATAGCGGTACTGACACTGCTTAATTAAACTGGTGGTATAGTACAATGCAGCACTACTTCCACCCCTCAGAATGTTGGCTTTATACCTATTACAAGTTGCTGTCTTACTTTTCTGTGTTTCGACACTAAAATATCTCCAAACTAAGGACATGTTGACTCGCCAACTGTTACTAGCTCACTCAGTCGCAGACTGTATGGATCAGTGTGCGACGGTGACATCAGTCCCAACTCTAGTCAAAGCCACAGATTACTCGCTTCCAACTGGTTTTCTCAGTTTGCACACGTTTTATTTATAACTGCAATTATTTATCATGTCGAGACAAAGTGTTTACTAGGGGAGTAAGAAATTATACAAACATATTTTGTGATATTGTATCGATTCTCAAAAATACTAGATTTTTGTGGTTAGCCCCTCAACCGCTGGATACCAGTGTTGTAAACATGAACTGAGGGCTATGATGTTAGATGTCACAGCAACTAAATCGCAATATAACTTGCAGCTTATGGTATCGTAATATATCAAAATATATTGAATCATATCCCCTGTATTGTGATACTTCATATTATCAGATTATTACACAACTCTAGTATTCACCTATAAATAATAAAGGGTTTTAGAAGGATACTCAGAGTAATCAGTAGAGTACCCTTTTAATGAAGAAGTATACTGCAAAAGCATGGTTTAATTCAGATATTCTATAAGAGTTGCAAAGGACCAGTGGATAGGATTCAGTAGTATTTAGCTGTGCTAAAATTGCTCTCCCCTTCCAAACGTGAAAGAAAAAGCTACAGTGCCGGCAAAACATATGCGCCTATTTAGAGCCAGTGTTTGTTTGTCCCTGCGGGGCTACTGTAGAAACCTGGCAGTTCAATATGGCTCCATGGAAGGCGATCACGCTGCTTCATTCTAAGGTAAAGAAAGCACAACGATTCTTATTTTCAGGTGGTCCTCCAAAATGTTACACACTGGACCTTTAAATCGTGCTCATACTGTTGCAACTGTGTGTGCGTCCATCCACAGGTGCCCTAAGTTGATAGAGTCTTTCCCTTTCCGGGCTGTCATAAAGGATGATAGACCTACTTTGGGATTACTGCCCACCATCCTTGTCTTCATGCTCCATCTTTATACTATCACAAATCAGTCCGAGCATGGTCTTAACTGTGTAAGGAGACGGGCATGTTTGACTTGCATGTCTTGTTCAGTCTCTGAATATTCAGTGATGCCTGTCCTTTGAAGCTGCTCCTAGGTCTCCTTTTGTGAGTGGAGCAGCTTTATTCATTGTGACTTATGCAAAGTGATCTTTAACCTAGAGGGAAGCCACAAAGAACACTTCAGGGACTTCTGAAATCTTCCCCCCCGACGGATCATGTTTTGGAAATGGCAATGGATTTTTTTTTTTGTCGGACCAAAAGAAGCCAGACTCTAGTAGAATTGTGTTTTGCAAACAGTGAAACATCAAGATTATTGTGTATTCTCTGCTTTGAAAAGACCTTTGCAATATCCATTTTTCAGACTTTAAAACATAACACCTTAGTTTTATTGTTAATTTGAGCTCATGTGCGGCTGCTATCAAAATACAAACAAGGCTGATTTGCTGTTACCATGGCAGTGATTGTAATGCTGTCTCATAGGGCATCCAGGATTTCTTCTACATTTTGTCTTGGAGATGTCCTGTTTGTACACCAGGGAGCATTGTGTAACCCATATAATCAATGCCCTGGATGATTTTGTGAAGACTGTTCGGCCAGCTGTATGAGATATCTCATTATGTTTTCGCTCTCTGCGGCATTCTGCAGCTCATGTTGTGCCATGTAGTCATATGGGTTTTAAACATAGAAGGAGAGCAGGTGCAGCCATAGTCCAAAAGCACTGGAGAGGAAACAAACACAAACAACATGCCTTATCCTGCCTTGAAGTGTCCCTTGTCCCCACGGACCTCCGCTGTGCCATCACTCTGTTTTCAGCTCCACACGCACAGCAGCCAAACCCTATAAGCCCAAGCCCCAAACGGTGCTGATCAGCCGCCTCCGTTGCAGTGCAGTACCTGCTCCGTTCAGCCAGTTGGAGTATGGGATCATGCTGTGATAAACGGCCAAGCAGCTAGGGGAGGCGCAGGGGAGGGTTCCTCCAAGACTGTTTTGTTTAATTGCTAGTCCGCTAACAAGTGGGAGGGTTTGATTAAGCTCAGCAGGACAATGGCGCGTGCCTGTCAGTTAGCCTGGGTGCAATACTGCAGAGCAGTGCACTGCATCACTCCATTCAGATTTGATGAGTTGACATCAGTAATGTGAGGAATTCATCTAGGAGGAGATCTCGTGAATGAGGCAGAGCCATAGAGGGCTATTAGAGATATACTGGATCCAATTCACTCAGTACAGCCACTAAAAGATAAATGGAGTCATGAATTATGAAAAATATCATGTGGGAAACATACAGTATTTCTCTCACTTCACACATGTGTAGCGCATGCTGCATAATTTCTTGAAATTGCAGGACAGCGGGATGTAAAAAGAGGTTAGATTTTATTTCTCAGATGCCAGAGCTGCTGTGTGATCACTTCTGCATCGCATTTCTAGTATCTCTGTCAAATCATGGTAGAGATGATGTCTGTGGTTGAATTATGGTACTGCTACTCGTGATTCAAAGCAGGTTTACAACATTTTTCTAAATCATTTTGTATCATAAAGACCCTCATTGTTCACCTTTTTCTGCAGCATTTGTTTCAGTTTAAACACTTGTTCACACTACATTGGATTATTGACCAGGTTTAATGGAGTCCTATAATTATTCAATTTCATCTACTGTAACAGTCAGTCATTAATTATAATCACATAGTAATTACATTATTATTATTACTCTATTTAATCCTCAATAATTAGCCATTGATTTAAATAATTTGCTCTCTTTTTTAAAAGCATCTCATGATTTCCGACCGGAAGCCTAATGAACCAGATAACTGCGAACTAAGTTGTCTATTTGGTTACACAAAGTGGGTGTGCTGAGTTAGCTTTAGTTTTACACCTTTTATCAAGTCATTCATAAGGTTGTGTAGATCAAACACCATCATGTCTGACCATTAATTCTTGCCAATCCACGTTTGGCATTTTAAGTTGTGAATGTTTTTCAGCATGCAGTTAACCTGACTGTGCCGCCGTTTTTGGAAACTGTTTAGAAAAGGGCAGGCACTTTCAAAGAATACTCTCCAGGTTATTGGATGAACCATTTGTCCATCACCGTCAATCACAAGCGAAATTCAACCAATGAAACATATACCACAGTCCAACTTATACCGAAGTTAGTCGAACATCTTTACCATCAAGAAAAGCCTTCAGTGCCATTCTGTGCTCTTCTTTACTTTCCCTAACCCTATATAACCGATGCTAGCAGCATCAAGGCTGACCTCTATGGGAGCCACCACCGTTGTTTAATGAACAGTGTCTCCTCAACGTAGCTTCCAGTAGTTCCTCAGAGGACCCTGATTGGTCCAGTACTGTACCGGCCACAAACACATAGATTGAAGCCTATAGTGAGACGTATTCTCACCCGATCTTGTGATTTTGTCCAGTTGCCTCGCAAGGTTAGGATGCAGTCCCTTGGAAAAAGACCGAAAAAAAAAAAAGAGAGAGAGAGAGAGAGAGACAAGGAAAGCAAGAGAAACAAAGGGAAGGAAGACATCCTTTGGTACATGAATCTCAAGACTTCAAAATGTGTGTTTTGCTCATTTTGAAATACTCAAACAATTATGTGACATTGGGGAAAGGCTGACATTTAAACTCCAACACTGTTTTATTGATTTTAGTGGTCTGACAGGTACTTGCCAACATGATGTTCACTTCCTGTTAGTGAACTGGAGCATCACCTTTGGCTGTTCTCTCATAATACAAAACATGCATCCTAACTGTGATTGTACTGTAACAGCATTTCTGCACAACTCCTGTCAGCTTTTGACAGTTTCACGCAAAGTTATGTTATGGGCGGCACATTACTTTGTTTTGACTGCCTTACCATTACTGTACTTGCTGTATGGAACTCAGACAGAACACATACAGCACTTGATTTTCTAAAAATTAAATAGAAGCCACATTTTGGAAAATTAGCAGACTACTTAAGAACTAATTGATTCAGCCGGAACAAAAATATTGCATCTGAGGCACAATAATAAGATTCCTAAACTGTTTCCGAAGATGTGACTGTTTTATAAGTCTTCTACTATTACGGTACAAGGATATTAGTACTGAAAGTAATTTCATATTTTACTATATAAATACATGTTTTTCCCGTCAAAAGAAACCATTTTGCCACATGAAAATACCATATGAATTGCCACTTGATACGACACTGGTTAATTTGCAGTCTTTAATATAAAATTCAATAAATATTCCTTTAAAATGTCATATAAATAAAGTTTTGCCATGATATATGACAGTGTTTTACTGTTACAGAATTTGTATTTAACCTATTTAGAGTTTACAGTCTTTTACTGTCATGGTTTGACAGTTTTTCTCTGTAAAGTCTACAGACATTTTTTTAATGATGCCTTTTGTTATTGTGGTGTTAGAAACTTTCTCTTTTGCGGATTCTAGTTGGCTGCACAGGGAACTGTAATCAGTCATGACAACACACACCCCAGTGTCTTCCCAATCCCTAGTCGAGTATGCAGACCTCATCCACATTAAAAATGATCATTTGAAGTGAGTCCAGATAATTACATTTGTTTGTAACCTCTCACTGATCCTGTCATCAATTTTCACCTTAGCCTGACATAACTTTGTCACCCTCAGGAGCTTTAAAACTTATCACACACCACCTCAACCAAAATATCTCACTTCCCTCCACCCTGTTTCACGACCGGCATTAAATCATTTTTTGGCTTCATTTAAAGTGAGAATCCTTGTTTTCTTCTTCATCCACAGATCTCGTATTTTCCTGGATCTTTAATGAGTACCCAACATTTGTGAAGCAGGACACTCGCCGCTTCATCTCGCAGGAGACAGGGAATCTGTACATCGCCATGGTGGAGCCCTCAGATGTTGGCAATTATACCTGCGTGGTGACCAACACCGTCACCAAGACCCGGGTCCAGGGTCCACCCACTCCACTTGTCCTCCGCAGTGATGGTGAGTAATATATTGTGCTCATGTACAATTTCCTTCATATGTACAGTACATCATATTTTGTCCAGTAGGTGTTCTATAAGAATAATAATCCACTTGCAATTAAGTGGACATGCAGTGCCACATGCATAAAAATATAACTTTCCATAAAGGCATATGGGTGTACATTAGTCTTCATCTTTTGTTCACCATGCATTATATTAAATGTGCAAACAAAAATGTCCTCATGCCACTCATCATGTCTGTGGATGGGGTTTTCCTTCTATTTTCGGACATACTTGTAGCCCAGCCTCACCAAATGGCGTATGAATAACACGACTTTAGACTTTCAAATTGCGTGCAGTGTATACGCCAAAGTTCAATTTTGTATGCAGGTCATGCACCAATCCTTCCCATTAACTTCTGAGAGGTGACTTAGTATAAAGAGTGACAAGTTCACATAGAGGAGGTTGGGGATGCATGGGTCAAACAAACTTACACCCAGGAGACCACTTAGGTTACTTATGTAACGAATCATGATCTTTTCCTAAACCGAACCTCTGTAGCTTCGTGTCTAAACCAAACCAAACTGCAACAGTTCCGTTTACGTTATGACAAAAGTCACCTGACTTCTTACTTTTCTGCACATCACACAGAAGATAATGGGAAGGTTGGCGTATCATCTGCATGCAAAGATGGACTTGAACTGACACTGTTTGAAATTCAGTCGTATTCATATGAATTCTGTGCTGGGATCAAATACAGCAGTGTTAAAAATGTTCTAGTCATGATCAACAAAAAGCCCTGAAAGTAGGACAAGTGGTTTTAAGGAATACAAATGAAACTCAAAGGTTAATGATCTCTTTCTTTGCTAATTTCAGCATGTCCTTTAACATGTGGATCTGGTGCTTTAGGCTGGCCTTATCAAGGCATTCCAGAGGAAAGGTCATTGTCAGCAAGTAATCTAATTGTAGGCTTCTGTCCCAGAAGCGTGCTCCTTACCATATCTAATGTAATGCAGTATAAGAAATATGAAGCTAAATGTTATTTTCGCTAGAAATATCTTTTATGACATTTATCTGGGTTTTTGTCCTCCATTAATTGCAGCTGATCTGGTGAAATAAAAAAATCCTCCTAAGAGTGAACATAACCTCTGATCAGACAGCTTTGTTACCAAAAAGAGTGTGTGGTAACGCTTATTTTATAAGCAATATATAGGCATTTGCCTTTAACATAATAATGTAGTTGTTTCTAATGTTTTTGTCAACAATTATAACTCCTATGAAGCATCCATTACTGGTGCATTGATACCAGTTCTTACACTGTATTATAAAGCACTCATTAATTATCTATACACACAGGCATTTTGTTTACAAATGTGTTTAAAACTCATGAGGACATATCTATATATGATTACAGTCTGAGTGATAGAAAGTTTAAAAAATTTAAACCCAATATTCACTTTTTCACATAAACATACACACAATACAAAAAGAACTGTATAAGACTTGTGACCAAGGTATGCAGGTATAAAAAATATCACACAAAAAAAAACTACAACATATATGCCAGTGCCAATATATTTAATATATATATATATATATATATATATATATATATATATATATATATATAATTAATAACATTGGCTAACATCAGGTGTTCATTAATTGTTCAATGAGTTATAGATATGTCACAGGACTATTCATATTCGTTGACAAATGGACATATAATCAAAATAAATTAAATGTCTGCTTACAAATGCATTACAGCTTGTTATTAATTGTAAAAATTGTAATTGTATATTACTTAAGAATGATATATACAGGAAGTTATGATAAACTGTTATCGAATTGGTATTAGTGTTAGTGCTACTACTGCTAGTAGTATTAAATATGTTTTTCTTACCTAAATAGAAATATATCAGAATATCCCAAATATTGTGCTGACAATCTGCAGCTTCTCCCTAGTTAACTTTTAAATGCTGTTGCTGTAGTGATAGAGGGCTCTCTGGAGACAAGAGGCTGAGTTTGCTTTCAAAACAAAAACAAAAATAAAACAAAAAGATAAGGACAAAACACTTTTGCTGAGAAAAGCCGTCAAATTATAGCTGACATATCTGGCATGAGACAAACATTGCACCTAGTTAATGAAATGTTTTAGTAATTCCAGTTGTAGTCTAAAGAAAAAACTAATAATTAGGTTGTCAACCTTCATCATGTATATCATTTAAATTAAGAATATAAATGATAATTCAAGACGTGACATAAAACGTGACATTTCTTACTTGGAGACAATATGAATAGCTTGTGTGATTCGAGAAATCGTTTTTTTCAAGCAATTCCCGAGCACTTCCCTTCCCTTCTTCCTACCCTTTCTTTTTTCATTATACCTTTATTTCTCTGAGGCAACAGGGTCTGTAGCAGCAAAACATCAGCGGTCGGGGAGGGGGTGCACACTAAACAGGTGTCCCCTACAAAAGGTTATGGTATGAGACAATTACCCGTCCACTTCCACCTGTCTGCTTAAAATGGGTGATAGTGCTGTGGTTACATTCCAGTATGAGACAGTTGTGATAAGGATCTGAATTAGCTTTCACAGTCACTCAGGGAGTCATCCTGATAACACATGCCTCACCAAATCAACGAGATGAAATTGGCCTGTTTCCTCCATCTCTAGAGCTATTTGTGCAACACAGCCCTGAATTACAGCAATGGGGGAAGCTATTGTTACACTGGTGGATGAGAGGGGCTCGAAATACCATGTTCTGCACCCAGGACTGGCACGGCTATGAGAAATGAAACTACACTAACTAAATTCATTAATATAATTTACCTTAGTGTCAATTAAGGGAGAAAAACACACATGTGCTTTTCCAACCATGTTAGACACTCCACTCTTGATTTATGAATAAGCCTCTCCTAAAGCTAGAACACCGAAGAGCCCGTCTCCTCCTTTATACAGAGATTTTTAGCATGCACAGCAGCAATATTATAATCCACCAGAGCTGCTTCACCGACAGTGAATGGGATGCTTTGTAGACACAGTAGGGGTACCCAGGGGGATTTTATGGGCCCATTTTCTGGTTCATAGCTGTTAGCACTACAACAAGATGAAACTCATCTGGATGTAAGAGCTCAAATCGTCTATGAATTCTCAAAGTTGTTTTTCCTATTCAACATCAGTGTGTTGTGTGTCCACTGGAAGAGCTGTGTTTTCTTTTTCTTTATTTTTTTTTCACTGGGGGAGCATTCTGTGACAGCACTGAGAGCAGAGCGTCTTTCTGCTGCTCAGATCGCACGGCGTTGGAAGTCGAAAAACATTTCAGCTTGTTGTAGAAAGAGGGTTTTACATGAAACAGGTTTTCAGTAACTGTGTAGCAACAACAGAAGCCACAACTTGGCTCTTTATTTAGTTTTATTTTATTTATTTTTTTGCCTGAGTTGTTTAGCTTGAGTTACAAATCAAAAATAATTGTTTTTTTTAATTTTTGCACTGACGCTCATTTGCATTTCTCTTTCAGGTGTGATGGGTGAATATGAGCCAAAGATTGAAGTTCAGTTTCCAGAGATTGTTCATGTTGCCAAAGGATCCACTGTAAAGTTGGAATGCTTCGCTCTGGGAAAGTAAGCCCACTCTTACTCAGGCTCAGCATGCTCACTAGCATATAAAAGAAAAACATTACCAGAAGAGTGCCGAGATATTTTATTTTTTTATGTGTTCCACCACTTTACTGCAATCCTCATGTGTTTTAAGCTAGGCTGCACATCTAAGAAATGAGAGGGCAAATGTTGTGGTGTAAAAATCGTCAGTTAAAATATGAGGTTTTGTAACACAGTGTGCTGAAGCCCAGAGTGCAGGACTAGGCAATATGCTGTCCTGTATGTACTTAATTCTATGGAGTTCTAGGGAGTCATTTTAGCAGTTTGACATTCACCAGGAAACAAAACCCCTTAACTGTACCTTAAACGCCCCTTACACTTCTATCCGTGTGAATATTATGGAGGAGTGGCCATGGAATAGGTCAGTTTATGCTATAAAGCAGCTGAATTTGTTCCTAAAAGGACTAAAGTAAAGTCCTAAATGTTGCGCTCCTCAGCCTTGCATTAAATATTAAAGATCCCCTCTAGACATGTATTAAAACATATATACACACAGGATGTCTCCTACTTCACTGTAAAGTCCATTTTCAGTGGATGTACACTGATGGCTTAAATTTTCTACATCACACTGTACAAGTTGCATACTGGACCAGGACTGACTTCCTAACTATTTGTGATGTCACAAATCATGCTGGTAGGCCCCACCCCTTAAAATCAGATGATCAATAAGCACAAGGGAAACTTTCCACTTTCAGTAGATGAATGTGAAAACATCCTTCTAGTGTCAAACTCTGCACATCTATCATTCAAACAGCACACTGTAGGGACAGGAAGAAAAACCTATTTATAAGGGGGACTTTAAGGATTTTAATAGAACAATCCAAGGTTAATTTGAACACCCTGTGTCTAATTTTGCAAATCAATGAAATGCTGAGATGAAATATTTAAGTGTGAGACTGTGAGTTAATGTTAAGTTGCATGTGTATATATGAAAAGAAAGTTGAGGCATTTGTAAGCTTTTTTTTATTCTATCAGTTTTCCATGACTGTTAGTCAATATGTTTTCAAATGATTCCATATTGTTGTTTTCTGTTTTTCTTTTGATTAGTGCTCATTAAAAGTACAAATGTTTATATGTGTTGCAGTCCTAGAGGACCCCAGTCAAAATCACCTGATTCCTCCTGTGCAGTGTTAATAGATGAAACTATTTATTGAGTTCATGTTTGCCATGGGTCCTAATTTAAAGCATCACACATCAGCACTCTGTCATTTTTAAGCAAACACACAACCCTAAATACTGCTCATCCTATTATGAAAATCTTAATGTCATGACTATGAAATTACATTTTTATGTTCTATAATGCAAGATAAGACTGTAAAATAGTCTGTCATAGATATGATTGACGTGTAGTCAGAGCTTTACTTTCAGCACTTTTGCTTCAATTCTTTGTCAAACTATAATCAATATATAATTAAATCTTTTTGAGTTTGTATAACACAAGATTTTGACTTTCATAAAAAAATTGTATTTAATGTCAAGCCTTAAATAACCATTTAATTGATCAGAATCTGCACAATTTTGTTTAGTGATAAGCAATGAGTCATTCACAAAAAGCGGGTTAAACTTCCCCGTGGTTCTTTTCACAGCCCGGTACCATCCATAAACTGGAGGAGAATGGACAGCATACCCTTCCCCAGGAAAGTGGACATGAGGAAAGCCAGTGGCGTCTTGGAAATCCCGTATTTCCAGCAGGAGGACGCCGGCACGTACGAGTGTGTGGCCGAGAACTCCAGGGGAATGAACACAGTGAAAGGAAAGCTCTCTTTCTACGGTAGGTGATCCTAACACGCATGAATATTTGACCAGCGTGCACCACATCTGTCAGACCAGCTCAGACTGAAAGGCAGCAAAAGCAGACACAAGCGGTCTCATAAAGCAGTCAGCTGCGATCAGCGGAGGATGATGCTGCGTACATGAGGAGGGCGGCTCGTTTTAACGGCACATCAAAATGATTAAAGGCTGTCAGCCATGATGCCTCTAATATTTTGATCCAGATTAAAGGAGTGATGCGGATGAGGCTGAGCCCTTGGATACGACCTTGTTGGTGAGCCTTGTATTGGGTTCCACCAGATGGCATCATGATTGACATCCAACTTGACAGGAGATCAAAGCCGTTAAATGTACTATACATAGACCAGTGGCACATATGTCAGGGACATAATCTGCCCAGCAGCATCTGGATCCATGGGAAGGGGGTTAGTGGATTCACTCATTGTCACAGAGGCACACCTATTGAGTTCAGATACTAGAAGTCATGATAATTTACTGCCACTTAATCCCTGGATCCACCATCAGAAAAATGAATGCTCTTAGAAAATGATCGGTAGTTCACATTTAAACATTTTTCTTTTCAAGAAAACTTGTTTGTTAAATATTTTCTGGGGCTTTGTTGCCTTTAATCGATAGTGACAGCTGGAGAGTGACAGGGGAAAGGAGGTGCCACAGGTCGGAGCTGAAGTTAGCAAACCTATCTGACCATATACTAAGTATACTAAAGCTGTTTACCTACAGCAGCAGCAGGTAACTTCCTATACTCATGAATGACACGGCCATGAATAAATGATTAAAAAGTGTCATTCAATTTATATTTTCATGTTATTTTGACGGGGACTTTTCTGCTTAGGTTTGCCAGGCAGTTAACTTCCTCTTTGAACAATCTATGGATTTTCCTCCCACCTTTTTTTCCTTCTGATTTCCTCCCCTAAAGTCGTGCTGTGTCAGCTGTCAGAAATAACTCATTTGGGGCATTAAACAATTTGCCATTATTTACAGGAGCACTGGAAGCTTTTAGCCTCGTTCACTCTAACAGCCCAGGAGCACGCTGTGATCCACCAAGGCTTGATTTGTCCTTTTGAGCTGTGCCTCTCTTTCTCTCGTTCTCATTTTAATTCAGTTTGCTTTATTGGCATGAGTGTGACAATGACAAGCATGAAGAAATTATAGACGAAAAGAAAAACAAAAAACCAAAAAAAAACATTAGAATTCATAGAATCCAGAAAATATCAGAACAAAAACTTAATCACTCAATTATTTACAGATTTAATAAAAAGATATAAATAAAAATAAATAACAGTAATAACAAATATATAAATTAGAATATTAATTTAAATGAAAAATTAACAAATAGGTCATTATCATATTATCATCCTAGGCCTCAGTTCATCACAGGAGGTGAAACATTTTGCAGCAATAATTTCACAGTTGGCCATTGGCAGTCTGTCAGTTTCTCTGTGTCTGTTATGTTTTCACATTCTGGGTGTTTTTTTCCAATACAAGAACATTTCTCAGAGGCTGGTATTTGGAGCATGAGGTGAAGATGTATAGCTCTGTCTCTACCTGTCCTCTGTCACACTGGGGGACAGAGTCTCTCCTCCTCTGGCAGCCAGCTTTGTTCATGGCAACCCTTCTCTACAGCCAGGCTGAGTCTGTACACGGTCAAAGCTTTTCTTAGTTTAGGATTTTTCACTGTGGTCAGATCATTTGTAAATGGGAATTCTCTTTTTAGGGTCAGATAGAATATTTCTATATGTGATATGGTTTTCTTTTTGTTGGTTGATAATTTGGTTTGGTCTGATTGGCTCTCTCTCACTCTCTCTCCTGCTGTCTCTCTCTCCTGCTGTCTCTCTCTCTCGTTCTCTCTCTCTCTCCATCTCTCTCCCTCTCTCTCTCTCCCTCTCTCTCCCCCCTGCTGTCTGCAGGCAGGTGATAAAAATCAGTAATCTTATTTTGAACTCCCTTTGAATTAAGCCTTTGAGACATTCGTCAGCAGTGTAAGCCAATGGGGGAATCGATAAGTGTATACCTCTTGTACATCCAAGCAAGCTACAGAGAGCTGGGCTGTGTTTGACAGGAAGAAATGGAGGTGTTACTTGGTGGCTCTGTGGTCATTGTTCAAACATTTTCTTTTATACTTTTAATGTTAGAGTACCGAGATGCTTCGATCGCACTAATAAAGTGGGAATGATGTGTTTTGAGTTTCTTTTGTTCTGGATATGAAGGAGCTGTATTTCAAGTTTACAACAGTGGGTTTAAAATGTTACATTTTCCCATCTCTTTATTTTGTCTTGATGTACTAAATGAAACATGAATTCATTAACTGCTTAAAAAATCACAGTTTGGGTTTTTGCTGGAGGTGAAATTAAAATTCTCTTTAGTTTGTGTGCAGTCTTTCTTCATAATTCTGTATCGGAAGCAGTGTTTAACTACTTCTTAAGCCAAAGACAAGCTGTTGTTTTGTTAAATTTCCACCCCTGAAAGCAAAAGCTTGGAAAAGAAATGGGCGTATTCTCTCTTGTTGATGTTGATATTACTCAGAGGGAAAGTAAATGCAAAGCTCTGACAGGTTCGTTTCCCGCTGTTGTATTCGCGTTTGTGTTTCTGCAGACTTATACGGCTGCATTATCTCACACTGATTCCACCGATAAGGCAAATTCTCATCTTTCCTCTTGCTTTAGCCGCTCGACATTTGCTCTGATTGTATGCGTGCTTGGCCCGGGCGCAAGGCAGAGATGGGCTGCCTGCTTTCATTTGGTAAGCGCTGACTGAGAGTCGATACTTTTGCAGCGGGTGAGGAATAGAGTGAGGGACCCTGACAGCGAGGAGAGAAGAGAAAAAGCCAACAACAACAGTGCAGTCCTGAAAGGTGCAGTGGGTGGGGCAGCTCAGCCGGGCTCTGATGGAGGGTTGCGGTAGCATGAATGGATGTGATGCTAAATGACTAGTGATGGTGGAGTCTTATAGAGTAACTTTCTACCATCTGTCCTAGTTTGTTCTTTTCTAAATACAGGCGCATCTAGAGATATAGTCAGGTGGTGGCAAGAGGGTGGCATGGATAATTTAAGGGATATATGTGCTGATTTAATCTCAGACAATCACATACAACATATTTTTATGGAAAGCCCACAAAACGAAGATATTTGAACTCAAAAACATTACATTGTAGTGGCACATTAGTAAATAACTGAATTGAAAATATCTAAAGCTGGCTTTAGAAATCAATAAATGATTATTTCTTTCCAAATCTTCAGACACTTTTCCAAATACTTTGTTTTACGTTTTATTTCAACTTAAGCCTATCAGTAAGTCTAAAATGTGGTCATGACAGATCATTAAATTAATTTCTGTTTTTTGACGTTATTTTAAATCTAAATTAATTTGTTATAATTTGACAGCATTTGACACCATATTAGATCCGCCCCTGCACATACATACCACTTAGGCTTCTTCAGGTATACACAGGTTAACACAGCTGAAATGAATATCAAAAATATATTAATGTTAATAAACTGATGCATTATTTTGTAACATTCCTGTAAGATTAGGCAGCTACAATAAAGGGAAGGTTGGCATAGGTGCTACCTCATATAGTTTGAGTGTAAATGTCACTTTTCTGTAGCTAAATAAACAGCAGCTCTCAGTCAAAGGAAATTGTAACCCTTTTTTACTGTTTGCACAGATGGCAACAGCGCAGCCTCCACACACCTTAAATGTTAATGACCTCATCCAACCTTGTGCTGCAGCCTCGGCTGCCAAAGGGATCCTGGAGGCCAATAGTACAGCACATGATCCACAAATACAAACGTTCCTTTGATTCCAGACTGGATTTGGATGTTAAATCTACGCAGGACTCCAACATAAATACACCAGTCCGCACAAATACCCCCCTCTGGTCTTCACATCCACCTCTTTTTATCAGTCCTCGCTCTGTGTTTCTGAACACCCACGTGCTCGCGGTCTAGCTCGCACATCGACTGCATACTGAAGCTGTAATGCACAGCGATATTGTGTGGATACATTTGCAGCTATCAAGTTTCTCGCTGTGTTATCCTGCTTTAGTCAAAGGCAAAATGCTGGATAGCAGAGGCCAATTAGAGCAGGATTTGTACTGTTGCTGAAAAGGCTCCACAAAGGTCAGTCCTTGAGAGTGGCATGGGGTGAGGTCCGCAGAATGGAAAAGTGCGGTCAGCCATTACTCTTGTCCTGCAACTGGCCTTGTGTGATATAGGATGATAGTAGCTTGACCTACACATCATCCAGAATGTACAGAGCGTTACGCAGAGAGCTTTACAGATCTAGTTTTATGTACCACTTTTTTTGCCTCAATCGGTAACTAGCCTTGAGTTACTTGCATGACACAGCAAGAAATCAATTCTCTTCCTGTATAATTATACCATCATTTACTCAGATTGTATCGAATGGAGGGTTTTTATGGCACCAGTGGCCATCTTAATGTATATGGTTCTGGTTTTCATCACTTCTGTTCCACTAGGAAACTGAAAGAAACCTTAAAAGGAGAACATCAGTGGATTCAAAATCCTGTCACTAAAATTCAACTAGCCTGTGGATTGTCTTTTAATACACTGCCTAACACAAGAAATCAACCAAATCTTGAGTTAATATCCTTTGTTTTAAATTATAACTGTATAATTAACAAAGACAATCAGTAAAAATCTTCAGTAATATATAAGTAATATAGTAGTAGTAATATATATGTAAATTTAATTAATGTTAAACATAAACCAATACTGACTGCTGGCTTTAATCAGTACATATTTGCAACGATGATGTTTTTTTTTTTTTTTAAGTGCTGACACACAAAGCCACTTTAATAAACATTTATATCAATCTAATAGCACACTATAAATAACCTGGCCTATGTGGTTTCCATAATAAAGACTTATTTATTGCTGTATTAATCTTATACTCATGGTTCCTAGATAGAGACCTAATACTTCATGATACATAATGATTACAATGATTTCCCTACATCAAGAGCACTGGCCTTGATGTTCAATTTGTGTGTCCAATATAAAGAATATAGCAAATAAAAATATGTATAGGTTTTCTTTTTATGTGAAAGACATGAGGTATTGTCAGCCTTGAATACTCCCTTCAGGCTTCATCTAAGGCTGCATACAGACCCAAAACCTTTATGTAGCCTGACAGGTGAAACCCAGGCTAAAACAAAAGTACACAAAGCTCTCGCTGCTACTTAAGTTTAATTGCTGTGAGCAGGGTGGTAACTGAAGGCCACTTAGATAAGCATATAAACATTGTTACCAACTAATCTTCTCTTACATCTGGATCTTAACATATATGGACAGTCAGACTCAGACACTGTTGTTGTCACTGTTTAGGTGATTTTAGTGATCAGTCAATTGTCAACATCTGTTTGACCCTTCATCTGTGTGTGTATATTTTTTTGTAAAGTCATCTGTCCCAGTCTGTACATTTATGAAAAACCTTTTTATTTTGTTTTTTGCTGTCCATCTTGACCAAAAGTCTCTCTGGAGATCTTGTGTCTCGGTGGGAACTTCCTGGTTAAATATAGGATAAATAAATTACTAATTTCAATAGAAATGATGCCCTTTAAAACTGTGTTATTTTGTTCATAATAAGAATGCCTAAGTCAAAAACCTCAGCTCACCCTCACATTTTCAATATTTCCAGCCCCTCCTCATCTCATTGAGAAACCCCAAGATGTCCAGAAGCTCATTGATGAGTCGTTGGTGTGGGAGTGTAAAGCCACGGGGAAGCCGAAGCCGTCTTACAGGTGGATGAAAAATGGAGAGAACCTGGAGTCTGCAGAGGTGAGATCTGCCAAGCGCTAGCATGTCTTTAGAATTGAAGATAAAGCTCCGCTTCCAAGGTTAGACTCGCGGCAGCAGCTTTGGCACAGATGTAACTCGCATACTCGCTGCTGCTGCTGAATGAAGACTGTGAGCAACCTTGTACTGTATTTTTAGCTTTATTGTGCTGTTTGTTCAAGCTTTACTGACTAATTACCATGCATTATTGTCTTCTTCATTACAACACAGCGCCTCCTGCGCCGCAATACATTATGTTATTCACATCTGCAAAACACCAATTTCTTTTTTTTCAAAGGAATTCGACTGTGTCTGTGTGCTTTTCAGAGACTAAACTGTAAACAGGCCAAGTATTTCATGCTAGTCTGGGAAGCACAGTGATGTAAGAGCTGCTCTAATCTTCTGTTAAATCTCACTTCACATAGCGATGTTATTAATCCTGTGCCACACCAAAGACGAAAAAGTAAGGTTTTCTATATAAACACTCTATATCCTGCTTTCATTTTACCTCCCTGCCCCCTCTGAATTCCCATTATAACTGCAATGATGAGAGATGAGCCTATCGTGGCTCCGGCAGCTTACTTGTACATCTAACTTCAACTGAAATCTGTCGTTGGCATTTGCAAAAATATGATTCAATATTCCTGCATCATATTAGATTATTGTATCGCATCTTTTAACCAGGTTGTTTGGAAAAGATTGATTAGACACATTGAGCACAGCTTGCACCTGATAAATAAACAGGCATTATGTTAATTTGCTTCATTATGCAAAAAAGGCGGCAAACACACCAGAGGATATCGATCAGTACTTGAATGTTATACATGTTGTTGAAATGAACCCAGCCTGTCGTTGCATTACCAGAGGCAACGCTCTGCACAGCAAACCTCTTTCTCATAAAAAACAGATTTGGCTTGCTATCAGGGAAGAATAATCAACAATCTGTTTAGCCAATGGCTAACATTTTTATCAAAGCCTTTTATAAAGTAACAACACTCTTGTGTTTGTTTGTTAGGAAAAGAGACAGCCCATCTGTTTTTTTATTGGTGAAACAAATCACATTTTTGTTTCTCTTGTTTGGTAGTTTCTTAAAAATAGCAAATATTAGGGCCATTGTGACGGCTAATTTCTAGTGCATACTGTGTCATCACATTTTTTTTTCTTCTTCCTTTTGTCAATGTGACCTTACTCCTACTGCTTTCTCATTTCATTCTTAGCTGAATATAATCAAATGAAAACACAAGTATTTTCAAAAAAACATCCTTAAAAATATTAAATAGTACCATCTGGAATCAAAGCAATGAATGTGCGATTAAAGGTTACAATGTCTGTGGGGTTTTTTTGTATTTCCCCTCAACGTAGACATAATAAATGGATATATTCCGAATGCATGGGTGAATGGATTAATCAGCAAAGGTGGTTACATTGTTTGAAATGCCACCATTAACCACAGTGGCTTAATGAGTGGAAGAGGGAAAGGTCAATGATGTAACCACCATTTGTTGTTATTTATTACAATGAATCAATTGAGACCTTTCTGATTGTAAAGAAAGGTCTGGAACTTATTTCTGCTGACAGCTTTCTAACTTTGAGCAACAGAAATAAGAGCAATCAATGTGTAAACGTAAGAAAACATGGGTCATATCTGTTGGCAAAATTGATTATACAGTGCTGTAGGTTTCTAGGGGGTCATGATATATAGAGCTGAGTATATGTGCATTCAATTATTCAATGTCAGTCATTTAAAATATTCAAGAACCTTAACTATTTCTAGTGTTACAGTCTAATAATAGTACCTCTCAAACTGGTTTTACAAGTACTGGGCTCTTTGTTGGACAGTCAGTTAACATGCTGCTGTGTTCTACCAGTATAGACCAGTATGACTGTGTCATGTGCAGCCATTAAACATGGTTGGTACATGGTTTGTTGGAATGCTTCTTTTCTCGTGTCTCTTTTCATCTGAAGGACTTTACTCTGCCACTTTATTGACAATGGCTGGAGGATTAAGTGGCTGTGCAATTAAAGGGAAACTTCACCGTGAAACAGGATTTAGTCTATTTACAGGACTGTGGAACCACCATACCAACTATGTAGCTTACAGTAGTGTACTTGAGCTGAGTGCTCCTAATGGCATTTGCAAGAAAACAACCAATCAGAGCTGAGAAAGATAGTTCTTTTTTCACAAATGGTCAGTCTTCTGTATTATTGTCAGGATATAGTGAAAGATTCAGAAAATATGACAGAAAGTTATTTTTACTGAAGTTACCTACTGCAGCTTTAAAGCCACTGTTGAGCTTAGTTCATGTATAATTGTTTTGCTTCCGTTTTCTGTAAATAGATTTAGCAGACTTTCACATTACTTATTTGTTGCTATTGTTTCTTCAACACCATTAAAACGATTGTTTTCCACCCTTTCCCTTTATCCACAGTAGTGGATTGATATTGTTATAATATCAAATGTAGCTTTTAAATGTTACAGCCGTAATTTGAATGTAAATTTGCATCATTCTCACAAAGTCTTCCAGTAATTTGGATCAACAGAGCTGTAGACAGCAATCAAAACCAAGAAGCTCCCTTTTCTAAACCATAAAAGTCTTTCCTTCGTGCCATCCATTCTTTAACATGTTTCTGCAGCTTTATATCAAACCAATCAACCCAGTGTTGTTGGCAAATGACATTGCCAATCATTTTCCTTCAGCATAAGGCGTACAGATGGTCCCCCCAGGTCCCTGCATGAAAAACTGCTGATTTGAGAGGAACGTCATGCTTAATTAATAGCAGCCGTAAACGGGAGTGCTTTCCATGCACAGACTGATATACGCCACCATTTGCCTCCCTCGCCAGCAGGGATATTCGCCCCTGCACATCCAGAGCCACAGAGCGTTATGGAAATTCAGGCACAACCTGCTCAAACACAGGATTAGTTTGTGATCTTTCAGCGAGGACAGTCTCCCTTTTCATGTGACAGTACCTTAATCCCCCGCGACTGGAGTTCAGACCTGCTCAGACACCCCTATGGAAATGGGCTCTAATGACATTATGGGTGAGCCCGGGGAAAACACAGGAGATGAAGGGCATGAGAAGGCAGAACCTGACAGAGCTGCATAGAGATGTATGAAAACTGCTCAAGGATTTAATACTGTAGTGAAGGAGTGAGAGCGAGAACCCGAGTTCAGAGAGATAAATGTATATTGGGGATTAAATGTCCAACAGATGCACTGATCCAACCAAGTTTTTAGTTCATCAGGCCCAGCCGTCCTCAAGTAGATCTTAATTTGATGGCTCAGTGGCAAGCAAGATTTTCCCTGCAGGAATGCAAAAACGATAGTCCAAACAGATGAAGAGGAGGTACTGTACAGCTTGACCATGTAAACAGCACTTAGTATGTATGTGGCACACCTATCAGAAAAGCAATTTTCACAATGCATTATACCTCAGATGTTACGATATTCCTTCCCCTCTTATCCCCTCCTCCTGCTGAAGGGGAAACAGGCCCTGTGGTGCAGCCAGAGATATAAATAGGGCACGGTTTTATTTCACTCTCATAAACATGCAGATTGATTAGGGTCATTTTCTGCTACCCTGCCTCCATCCACCCAAGCCTTTCCCTCCATTAGTGATGAAAACCGAGATTTATTGCCACGTCTGTCACTTCCAGACCATAATTCACTACCCTACTGGCTGGCTGTTTTTATGTAGATGAGCATCGGGAATAAGGCATATTAAAGGCATGTGTCTCTGTGTCCACAGGAGCGCGTACAGGTTGCCAATGGAGCGTTGTCAATCAGTCGTCTGACCCTGTCCGACACAGGAATGTACCAGTGCGTGGCTGGCAACAAGCATGGCGAGGTCTACTCCAACGCAGAGCTCCGAGTTATAGGTAAGATGCTAGATTTGTGTGTGCGCATGTGTGCATACAGTATGCTCGTTGGCATGGAGACATGTGCGCAAGCATACATTTGTCCATATTTGTTCTCAAGTTTGCCCCGTCTTCTTCCTCTGCTCAATGCTGCCGGATGACCTCCGGCCTCTCTCTTATTGGCCACTAATTGAAAAGCATTAATTATAAGATGAATGCGTCCGGCTGACAGTGATGTATGCCAGAGCTCCTCTGTTCACCAGCCTCGCCCATCGGCCCTGTCAAGCCTGTCACTCTCCACTCTGGGCTGGCAGCAGCTCTCATTCACTATTCATCCTCCAACATGTCTCACCCTGATTGTGTTGCTGATCGGGATCAGGCTGAACACAGCCAAATGTGCTGGTCAAACTCAAGGTGGAGGTTTAAGAGAAAAAGAATATTAGGTAGAACTTTTGAAAAGGGCACATATTTTTAAAGTGCTATATAACCAGGGAACATTATTACGTGGGACTGAACAAGGCATTGCTGTCTCTACTGAGAATAATAATAAAGTTCTCTAAAGATCTATCTCTTCAACTCCACAGCATCAATGAACATGAACATTACTATTTAGCTTTTTGATGACTAATTATTCAGAGTGTATTATCCATGGCAATAATGTAATGTATGTATTAACTAATTTGACAAAATGGTGAAAATCAAATGATGAGAGATAAATGTAGTATCAGATAAATAATCAGAGATCATCTGGAGGAATAGAGATGTGAGGCTTTTACAAACACTGGCTTTAATATGCTGCTCTTGTCTCAGCTGTTGCCCCAGATTTCTCTCACAACCAAGTGAGGAGCCAGACTCTGGTGAAGGTGGGAGGAGATGCGCTCATCGAGTGCAAGCCCAAGATGTCTCCTTGGGGTGTGGTCTCTTGGAGGAAGGGCAGCGAACCGCTTCGAGAGAGTAACAGGTAAACAAAACATGTCTAAATTTTGTTCTGGTTTTACCCCACAGTGAGGCTGGCTGGACTTCCAGTTATTTTTAACCAGGTACGGATCCTTGGAGGCCTTGTTCATGTGTATTGATACAGACACATCTTATGCTAAACAACCCTCGCCCCTTCCAGATGTCACATCTTGTTCACATTTGAATATTTACCATTCAGTTTAAGTCATTTTCAATGTAATATTGCCCCCAGCTGGTTATATGAGTTATATGGTTATGAGAATCACGTATGAGAGTCAACAATTAGTGCGTTGCATTATCACTACCTCCAAGAAAGCTACTAAGCATTGAAACATACATTCTAAAGGGAAGTTTATATATAAGAGATTGACAACATGAATATAGCAGCAAACAACTATACCTATCGGCGTAACATTGTGAGCACTGACAGGTGAAGTGAATAACTGATTATCTGGGCACCTGTCAGTGGGTGGGATATATTAGGCAGCAAGTGAACATTTTGTCATCAAAGTTGATGTGTTAGAAGCAGGAAAAATGGGCAGCGTGAGGATTTGAGCGACTTTGACATGACGACTGGGTCAGAGCATCTCCAGAACTGCAGCTCTTGTGGGATGTTCCCGGTCTGCAGTGGTCACTACCTATCAGAAGTGGTCCAAGGAAGGAAAATAGTGAACCAGAGACAGGCTCATTGATGTACGTGGAGAGTGAAGGCTGGCCCATGTGGTCCAATCCAACGAATGAGCTACTATAGCTCAAACTGCTGAAACAGTTAATGCAGGTTCTGATAGAAAGGTGTCAGAACACACAGAGCATCACAGTTTGTTGGTATGGGGCTGCAGAACATTCTGACCACCAGGGTGCCCAGGTGGTCAGAATGTCATGGCTGATCTGTGTATTTGCTATGTAAAGATGTCTGTCAGTGGAAAAAACAAGCAATTTTCATGGATGTACTTTGAGAAATATTGTCCAATATAACTGAATTAAGGGTTTATTTCAACCAAACTATTGTTAATGATTGTTGGACAGACTGTGGAAAAATTAACAAAAATGTTTTTGGTCAGTTTTATTTTGTTCCTGTCAGTTTGAGGTGTGTTTTATAATAGTCTGTGGGGTAAAATTATCCGTTTTGTCAGTGTAGTCTGATGAGCCATGAAACACATTTGTTTTGGTCATATATATATGGCCTTTAAGGAGGTATCTCAAACCGGTGAACATCTACATAATCAATGATATTCAAAATGATCATTCATTAATATATTGCCCTGTCAGCAATCCAACAGGTTTTCACTGTATCTGTTAGCCCATGTTCAGCCTTTGGTGTTAGGCCAGTCCAGCAACACAGCCGGGGTTCCAATTCCGTAGGCCTCCGCCAAAAATAATGTTGAGCCTGGCATTGTCATCCAGCAAGGTTGTGCACTGGCCAATCAAATAGTGTAAGCACAAACGCACATCCCTGACTGTGTTAATTATTGTGGCGTAAACGCTGCATTTCTGCTGTTTGTCTCACAATCATTGCAACAAAAGATTACTCGATTGCAGCCGTGATAACTTTACAGTTTTGTGATATCCGGTTTCTCAATGTTATAAATTGTGCAGAACTGGGCAGTGTTTGGTGTCTGATAAGCCCTCAAACTTTTATAGCGGTTCTATTACTGAAACTGGCCTTCCTTGTTCAAATCTCATTGTCGTTATCCAAAACTACGCTTACCCACCAAAGCAGCCCCTTTGCCTTAATGCTTGTCTGAAAGCCGGCTTACTATCCTGCAAAATAGTTGTGGACAAGGGGTCATTGCCTTGTTGCTCCATCAAAATCTCGTATAGTTGGGTGCATTGGTGGGCCAGGGGTTTACGATGCTGTCTATGTAATAACAAAATCCCTGGGTTCAAATCCGACCTTTCCTTTCCTGTCACCTCTCTACTGTCCCCTATCAAAAAGTAAATTGTCCCATAAATGCCTTTAAAAATGTCCCTTATAGGAATAAATTGACTTTCTGGATCCCCATAACATACAAAATACAGAATATTCCATTATTAATGCAGTGAAAGTTCTTAAGACCATTTGTTAGTAAGACAACTAGGATTTTTCGAGGTACACCAGACACTGTGGCTGTATTTTATTTCTACATGTCCACAGAGAGATTTAGATACAGGTCCTCAGATGTGGTGTGAACACTCACACACCCGCTGAGAGAAAAAGCAGCAAGAAGCCTAACTGAGTAATGGTTAATGGGGTTTGCCGTCTCTAGCTCTGTAGTGGTGGCCAAACAGACCAGCTGCTGAGTAAATTCAAAGTGCTAATCAAGTACTTTTCACCTCAGCAGGGATGATAAAGGCTCCAGAAATCAAATTACAGTATTCAACTTTTGACACGTTTCCAAGTGTCTGAGGAACAGTGGGCGATCTCAGCGTCCCGCCACGTTTGACCCCTGAGATGCAAAGTGTGCTACATGTGATAACTTTTGCCAGTGTTTATGTGTCTGAATGAAGTGTGAAGTCTGGCCCAGTAGCCTCATTGCAGACAGGGGTCATCCATTGGGTGTCACCACTCTAGCATGACTCCGCTCTGACAGCAGGGCTGTGTGCACAGTGTCTTGCCAGCCTTTGCATATATACAAAGCAGTGTTGTTGCTTGTCAAACACAGTGGCGGGACATTTGCATAGTGGTCTCGCTGCTGGTGCCCTTCACTCGCCCTGTGCCACTTCCATCACGCATTTGAACCTCTCAGCACCTGGGCCATTTTGATCCTGTTGCTTTGAATTCATAGTTTAGATTGATTTCACATTTGTCTTCGGTGCGGCATGAATTGACGTCCTCTCGAAGTGATAAATGAAATGTATGTCCCAATGTTAAATAGATGCTTTGTTTTCCTGAAATGTAATCACTGCATGCACTCTTCCTTCAGTGCTCCCAGTCATCCCTAACTATATCTCACAAAATGACCAACTCCTGTGATAAATAATAGATGATTTTAATCATTAAAGCAAAGTTAATGAATTAATTTGGAATCATTTCGAGAATTCTTCTCGTTCCATATTTACTGCAGCCATTTAGTTTAGCTCTTTGTTGCTGAATCTTAATAGTGGACAATTATTACATAGATTTCTTTGACACTGTCTTTATTCTGGTAGTTTTAAAAGTCTGACTGATGTTCAGAAATATGTTTTAATGCTTTTAACTCACTCTAAATAAATGATATTTGGCTTAGACCACCTGTGCCGCTGCTCCCGAATGAAGAAGAAGGAAAGCACAGATTTTAAATTAAAATTCAACATTCCAGGCTGTATTCCATTATGGAATGTATTGCCAGCAAGGCAGCGGAGTAACCGTTTACAGAGCTTGAAAACACATGCCAGAGCCTTTAAATGTGCTGATAATAGCTCCTACTTACTCTCTTTCCTATTATCTCCCCTTTTTCTCTCATCTGTGACATACACACATACACTGCTGTGTTGTATGCCACATAATAAAAGCACCCAGCATCTGTTGTTGTAATCATTAGAACAGTTGTCTTTTTAACACCCGCCCAATAATGGCTGTCCTGCCTGTAGGTCGTTGACAGTATTCAATCTCATCCTGCTTGTTTTGAAAATCACAAGACTTTAGTGAAAGCAGGCCACTGATGTAAATGAGTGAACTGCAAATGATGGAACAAACAGCATTGTTATTTCACACCATCAGCTGTGTGAGGAGAGCCATATTTCTTGCTTGTTACCTTTATTTATGTTTGTTCAGTATATCTTAGCCCAGATAAAAGAATTGTGTTTGCATGCATGTGCAGTCTGTGTATGCGTACATGTCTGAGCACGTCTGTTTCGTTGTGCACCTGTACAGGGAGGTGCAAAATCATAAGAGGTAGCTGTGAACCCCTTTTGTTGAAGATTAATTGCCTTAATTGCGTTAGCACTCCACCGCTGCTTCGCCGGAAAGGGAACTAGTGTCACCAGCTGGGTAATCCATCTTCATAGCAGCAGAACCCCCTTTTTTTCTGCGGAAGACCAGTGGAGGGGGGCTGGAGGGGGGCGAGAGGGGGGGGTGTCTTATCTACCCCAGACAACCCTGCAGGGACGAGGTTTAGATGACATCAGCTGGAACAAAGCAGCTGAGAGCGCAGAGAAGAGCAGGTCTTGCTGATGAGTGTGTATAAGTGGGCCGTGTCAGCCACGGAGAGCGGCCTGAAAAACACGCCATTTCAATATGTCACAAGCAGGAAGAAATCAGGTTTGTTAGGCTGCTCGCACCAGACACATTCAATCAACCGTCCTCTCGCAAGGCGCCGCAGGATGTGCTGACGTCTTGATGTTGCTTCCTCTTACATTAAAACGCCCTCTTTTAAAGACTAGTATTTATCTCTATTGGCTTTGGCAGTCATGCAAATAGTTGTGCCGGATCTTTTGGTCCTTTGAAAGAAGGTGTTTACCCCTGCAGGGAGGCCTTACAGTGCTTTGGGTGTGGTTGGGACTATTGTTTTCAGGCGCTTTGATGCTGCAGCACGTTTCCTTGATACATGTTGCCTTGTTCTGTACTTTTGGGGCACATTACAAAAGATTGAGGATAATAATGCTTTAGTTGCTTTAGTAAAAATATTTATTTGGTCAATACATCATCTTTTTGCTCTTTAGCATCCACTCTGTCCCTCTCCTCTCCTGCTAGTTGAGTGACAGTCAAAAGTTCAGTGTGCCCCTGGTATCCATGGCAATCCCTTTTAGTAAGCGCAGTCCAAAAGGTCATACATCTAAAATAGGCTTGAGATATGGCAATGTGATGCAAATGTTTTATGCAAAAATTTTCTCTTATTGTACTGTATGAGTTTTTTTTTCCTCCCCTAGGTTATGCATCATACCTCTCAAAAAAGTAATTTAGACTGGGGAAAAATTCAAAATCACAAAATGCACCTGGCAAATTGCTGTCCATTCAAAATGCCAGTTGGGCTCTCTGTCCAAAAGTGCGCAACACAGATGATATATAAATTATGTAATAATATTATATTCAATGATAAACTATTA